CCAAGACCTAGCATCTCAATAGCAATTCTACTATCGGCAACCACTCTCAGGGCAACTCTACTTCTCCAGCTATCCCCTGCTTTACCCTTTGCCAGATCATGATTTTTTGAAGGGGTGATTCTTGTGGCCTTCTCTACTTTCTGCAAGAATCACAATGATTCAAGAAGTGGATCTTGACTTCTGGTCAAGATGGCAGTATATATAGGTAAACGTGGTACTCGCCTCGTCCCACAACCACATCAGAATTACAACTAAACTACAGAACAACCATCATTCAGGGTCACCTGAAATTGAGCTGAATGGAAGTCCTACAGCTATGAAATTGAAGGACCCACATCAAGACTGGTAGAAGGGCCCTGGCCCTTTGGCTCAGTGGTAGAGCGTCGGCCCACGGACCAATGAGTCACACGTTTGATTCAGGCCAAGGGCACGCATGTACCTTGCTTGCGGTTTGTCCCAAACCTGGTCAGGGTTGTGCGGGAGGCAACCAGTCGATGTGTCCCTCTCATGTCGATGTTTCTCTCTCTCTCTCCCTTTCTTTCCCTTTCTCTCTATCTGAAGATAAATAGAAAAATATCCTCGGGTGAGGATAAAAAATTTTTAAAAGACTGGTAGGAGGGGCAGAGGCACAGTCGGGCTAATCCCACACTCACGTGTGGCGGGTAAAAATCAGGAGGGATAACTCAGCTGTGAAGTTCTCCCTGCCCTGTCCCACACCAGGCCCTCCAGCTCAGGGTTCCAGTGCCAGGAAGAGAATCCCCATAACTTCTGGCTGTAAAAACCAGCAGGGATTGAGGCTGAGGGAGGCCTCAAGCTGAGGCTCAAGGAGTCCAAGGCAGCTCCTCTTAAAGGGCCCGTGCATGGACTTACTGTGATTTGCTTCCTCCAGGCTCCAGCGTGGGGGAGGTGGCTTGAAAGGCACCAGGGAAATACAGGGAAGAACTGAGTTGTTTGGCATTGGGTTGAGAGCTGGAGGGGCAGCTTTCTCCATGACAGATGTGCTGGCCAAGGCTGTTGTTCCTTTGCTGAGCCCTTCCCCCACTGAGCCAACAGGCACCATATCTGGGACTCCAGCAACCTGGCTAACACTGTTTTCCCAGCCCTGGTGATTCCCTGAGGCCCCGCCCCACCCAACTTTCAGGCCCACCCAAGCTGTTTCCAATGGCTTTATCATAGGAATGGCCTGTCTGGGCTCATGCTTTGTATTTTCTAAAATCTCTCAAACAAGCAGCATCTGGCCTCAGCGAGCCCTCTACTTTTTGCTAAGTGGCCCCAGGACCAGTACTAGTAGCAGCTGGCCTTGGTTCACAGCTTCGCCTTGCCTGGGCACCTCCAAGCCCAGCACAAGAAGCAGCCATCTGCTTATTGCTTTGTAGCTTATACCTGATGTCCCCAGGTAGAACACAGGCAGTGGCTAACCTTGGCCTGTGCCTCCCAGGAGGCCCCAGAGCCAGCACACCCAGTGGACAGCTTCAGACCACATCGAAGCACCACCACCCAACCACCTCCACAAGCAACACACTCAAGGAGTGGACTCAGTGGGTACCAGAGCCCTGCTCTCTGTGGTGGCTCCCTACACAGCTGATCCTCCAAGGTTGTCAGAGGTCAGTGGTCAGTGGACACAGCCAGTCCTTGCAGCTGATCAGCCTGAGTAAATCCCTCCCACTGATGTGTCAACAGCAATCAAGACTCAATTACAGGAAGGAATGCTCATAGCAGCACTGTTTGTAGTAGCTCTGAATGGGAATCACTCAGCTTTCCATCAAATACTGAATGAATAAATACATTGTGGTATAGTCATACAATGGAATACTATACAGCAGTAAAAAGAACAAACTACTGATACACACAACCACATGGAAAATCTCACACACATAATGTTAAGTGAAAGAAGCCAGACACCAAAGAGGACATGCTGTATTATTTCATTCAGTAAACTTGAAAGCAGAGAAAGTAAAATGAAGCAATAAAATGTTGGGCATACATACATGGGTGGGCCAACTATAAAGAAAAGACAAGCAAGAAAATGATTACCTCGGGAGCTGAGAGGAGTTGTCACTGGGTAAGGGGTTCCTGGGGGCCTCTATGTCCTTTATTCCTTTTTTTCCCTTTTTTTTTTTTTTATCCTCACCCGAGGATACTTTTTCATTTTTTGTTCAGACAGAGCTGGAGGGAGAGAGAGGAAGAGAGAGAGAGAGAAAGAAACATCGACATGAAAGGTACACATCGAATGGCTGCCACCCGCACAACCCAACCAGGGCCGGGGACAAACTGCAACCAAGGTACATGCCCTTAGCGGGAACCGAACCTGTGTCTCTCTGGACTGCAGGCCGACGCTCTAACCGCTGAGCCAAACCAGCCAGGGTTTTTTGTTCCCTATCTTTTAATTTTCAAAGCATGCTCATTCACATTTGACTGACAGTACATAAACATTCTCTCTTTGGTTTTTCTTGTGAATCCTCACCTGAGGATATTTTTCCATTGATTTTTAGATAGAGTAGGAGGCAGGGAGGAAGAGAGAGAGAGAAACATTGATGTGAGAGAGACACATCGACTGGTTGCCTCCTGGACTACCCTGACCAGGGCCAGGGATTGAACCTGCAACCCAGGCACGTACCTTTGACAGGAATCGAACCTGTAACCCTTTGGTCTGCTGGCCATGCTCTAACCACTGAGCAAACTGGCTAGGGCAACATTCTTTTTGTTTAGAGAGAGAGAGGAAGGGAGAGAGTTAGAAACATCGATGTGAGAGAGCAACATTCATTGGCTGCCTTCTGCACACCCCCACAATGGGGATCCAGCCCACAACCAAGGCATGTGCCCTGATCTCTAATTGAACCAGGACCTCTCAGTTCATGAGACAATGCTCAATCCACTGAATCAATCGGGCAAGGGCAACATTCTTTTACAATAGGCCAGAACATCTGAATTATTCTGATTATACAAAAACAGATGCAAGATAGTGTTAAGACTTTCTTGCCTGAAATTGCAAAACTAAGTGTGCATATATTGTTTAAATCCCTTTCCCCCATTCTATCCTTTTTTTTTTTTTATCCTCACCTGAGGACATTTTTTCATTTATCTTCAGATAGAGTGGGAGGGAGAGAGGGAGGAAAAGAGAAAGAAACATCGATGCAAGAGAGACACATCGACTGGTCACCACCCACACGACCCCAACAGGGGCCAGGGACGAACTGCACTCGAGGTAGGTACCCTTGGCCAGAATCGAACCTGGGACTCTTTGGTCGGCAGGCCGATGCTCTAACTGCTGAGCCAAACCGGCCAGGGCACAGAAGTAATTTTTAAAGCCGTACATCTATATTTTATACTCCTGAATGTAAAATACATTGCACAATAAAAAGTTTTTTAAAAAATGAATCATCAGTGGGGGGTGGGAATAAAAAAAATCATCAGTCTCATGGAGTTGTCATGAGGATTCAATGAATTTGTGGACACACAGACGGGTACACAATGTGAACTCAGTAAGTACTGTCTGTGATCAGTGCATGCTGTGTATGCATAATCTCCTTGGTGCCTGTGCCCCTGGTGAGGGATATACCATGAATCATCCTTGTGTCTGGAGATAAAAAACAAAACAAAAAAAACCACCTCAGGTTCAGTGATTCACTTGAGGGACTCACAGAACTCAGAAAAGCTTTTTACTCACACTTATGGTTTATTACACTGAACGAATACAGATTGAAAATGTCAAAGGGAGGAGGAGCACGGGGTCCAGGAGACACAGGGCACAAGAGCCTAGTTGTCCTTTCCCACTAGAAACAAGCGGACAGTACTCAGTTCTCCCAGCAACAGTGTGTGGCAACATGCAGAGTACTGCAGCCAGGGATGCTAACATAAGCCTTGGTGCCCGGGCTTCTTATTAGGGGTCAGTCACATAGGCATGGCTGACCGCCCACCTGACTGAACTTGGTCTCCAGCCCCTCCAGAAGGCAAGCTGATACCGCACAGACCAAGGCCCCCAGTGAAACCAAGTCACTCTTATGGAGCAGGGTATCCAAGGGCTTAAATGTTATCACCAGGAGCTGGGCAAAATTAATCCTTTACTGAACAACCCGCATGCCTTTCACAAATGCATGGAACAGCTGGGTTACAGGTTATACACACTTTTTTTTTTAAATCCTCACCTGAGGATATTATTTTCATTGATTTTTAGATAGAGTGGAAGGGAGGGAGGGAGGGGACATTGATTGGCTGCCTCCCACACAACCCCAACCAGGGCCAGGGATCGCATCAGCAGCCGAGGTATATGCCCTTGACTGGAAATTGAACCTGTGATCCTTTGGTTCATGGGCTGATGCTCCAACCACTGAACTGGGCCAGGGCCACATTGTTTTTTTTAAATATGTTTTTATTGAATTTTTTTTTTTTTTTTTTTTTTTTAGAGAGAGAGAGGAAGAGAGAGATAGAAACATCGATGTGAGAGAGAAACACCCATCGGCTGCCTCCTGCACGCCCCCTACTGGGAATCAAGCCCACAACTTGGGCATTTGCCCGGACTGGGAATCGAACCAGGCTCAGTCCATGGGACGATGCTCAATCCACTGAGCCACACCGGCCAGATGTATTCACACTTTCAAATTTATTCAATAACACTGCACTCTTTCCTATTTTAAGATGAAGCACCTGCAACCAGAGAAGTCAAGTAACTTTCCCAAGATCACGAAGCCAAACCGCCTTGAACCCAGAGATCCTTGTTCCAGAGCCGCGTTCTCACTTGGCGCCCCCGGAACACGGTGGACACCAGATCATTGTGAGCTATTACGCTGAGGGTTTGGGGGGCTGTTATTCGGGGTTTCCTTTCCTGTCTATGTTATTCTGGACTCTGTCCCCATCAGTTAATAATTAACTGCCTCCCAAGGAGCCTGTGATCCTAAAAATTTGCCTTCCCCTGCCTCCTGCCTGGTTAATCAGTCACTGCCCCAGCTGGTAGTGCTGCTGTCAGCCCCTTTCCCTGGTGTGGAAGCAGTGAGGGGCTCATGATGCTCCGGACCTGTCGTGCACTCTGTTCCCAGGCTGGCCCCCCAAGTGGGGACTGGCAGCCCCTGCGCTTTGATGGTGGGGCCTTCCACCTCAAGGGCACAAGAGAATTAACACGAGCATTGCTGGTGCTGCGGCTGTGTGCCTGGCCCCCTCTGGTCACCCATGGCCTGGCGGTGAGCAGTGGTCTTGGGGACAGGCCTAGGGGCTCCCCCGGGTCTGGCTTTGAGCCCTTGCTCCCTGTCACCCCAGCTCCAGGCCTGGTCTCAGCGACTCCTGGGCTCCCGGTTCTCGGGCGCACTTCTCCGAGCGTCCATCTACGGGCAGTTTGTGGCTGGTGAGACGCCGGAGGAGGTGAGGGGCTGTGTCCAGCAACTCGGGACCGTCAGCCTCCGGCCCCTGCTGGCGGTACCCATAGAGGAGGAGCCTGATTCAGCTGTCAAGACTGGGTGAGTAAGACAGGCACCTCGTGGGCCACCACAGTCCACGCATGCCTAGTCCCTGGCTTGTCATGGGAGGTTAGATTAAAGATAAATTTTTTAAAAAGACTGAATGAGTAGGGGGCCATGGCCCAGGGAGGCTGGGAGGATGGCGGAAGGGGGTTAGCAGACTCGGGGACCTGATGCCTGCTGGCTGGGCAGCGAGGCCTGGTATGAGGGGAACCTCAGTGCTATGCTGCGGTGTGTGGACCTGTCGCGAAGCCTCCTGGGGACCTCTGGCCCAACTGGGAACGTCCTCATGCAGTTGAAGGTGACGGCGCTGACCAGCACTCGGCTCTGTGTAAGGGACTGGCAGGATGTGGGAGGAAGGTGTGGCTGCCCACCCTGTCCCCCTCACCACCCCACCCGCATCCCGTTCCAGAAGGAGCTAACTTCATGCATCCAAAGGCCAGGGGCTTCCCCGGAGTTGAGCCCTGAGAGGCTGGCAGAAGCCATGGACTCTGGGCGGGTAAGGACCTCAGGCTGCTGGAGAAATGAATGGCTGGTGGGGAATGTGGGGCGAGCAGAATCCCCTGGACTGGGGTGGAGCAGACCCTGCAAATGGGATGTTCACACTGTTGAATTACCACTGTTTCCAGGCTCGGAGCAATCAGAACTGCGGCTGTAGCCCTGGGGCACGGGTGGAATGGGTGGCGTATGGTCATCTGGGGGTTCTGGAGGAGGGTCTGGGGGCTCCGAGCTCTGACGAGCGACTGAGACAGCAGTTCTCTATCAGCTACAAGGGGAAGCTCCTATTATCATCTCCATTTTACAGAGGAGAAAATTAAGGCCCAGAGAAGTTATATGACTTGCTCAAGGCCACACAGTAAGTGGTAGACTAGAACCAGGATTCAAACTCAGGTTCTGGGCTCTTAACCGTTGTATTACACGTCAATAAACTGTGTATCTGTGATACAGCAACTTTTCAGATTTCTACAAATTTCTAAACATTTTCCCCTTCCTGGTGGTGGGGGAGAGGAGACTTGAGCCCGGGAAGAAAGTCCTGAGCTGCTTCTGCCTTCCCGGCTGCCCTCCCCCAGGGCCTCCAGGTCTCCTGCCTCAGCACGGAGCAAAACCAGCATCTCCAGGCCTCTCTGAGCCGCCTGCAGCGGGTGGTGCAGGTAATGCCTTCCGCTGCGGCCTGGCTCCGCCGCACCTGCTGGGCGCCCCGAGGGCTCTGACCGCAGACTCTCTTGCCCTCAGCACGCCCGGGCCCGACACGTGAGGCTCCTAGTGGATGCTGAATACACCTCGCTGAATCCTGCGCTCTCTCTGCTGGTGGCCGCCCTGGCCTTGCGCTGGAACAGCTTCAGGGAGGGTGGGCCCTGGGTGTGGAACACTTACCAGGCCTATCTGAAGGTGTGCGGTGCCTCCCGGGGAAATCTGGGCTGGGGTCCCAGCGCCCGACTGAAGCTGCCCGTGTGCCTGCCAGGACACACACGAGAGGCTGAGGCGGGATGCGGAGGCTGCACACAGGGCTGGCCTGGCCTTTGGAGTGAAGCTGGTGCGAGGGGCGTATCTGGACAAGGAGAGAGAGGTAGCCCAGCTCCACGGGACCAACGATCCTACTCAGCCGGACTATGAGGCTACCAATCAGAGGTAGGAGTGGGCCAGGCCAGCCTCTGAGAAAAATAATAACATCAAACCTTTAGGGTTCACTACCCATGATGCTGAGCATCCTGCATGTGTCTACACATCACTCATTCTTCCTGGTCTAGGACACTCCCACTTCCCACCTGAACAGCAGCCTCCTCCTTGGGCTCCTTGCTGTCTCCTTTGTCCCCCCTTCCCAGTCCATTCCCCACATGCAGCCAGAGGGAGCCCTGTTTATACCTAAGTCAAATCATGCCCTTTCTCAGCTCAAAATCCTTCCCACTGCATCCTCAGTAGACCCCAAATCTTTACAGCAGCCCACCAGGCCCCACATGACCTAGTCACTGTCACCTCACTCCCTGCACTCCTTGATGATCCCCAGGGCCAGTGAGTGTTTCTAAGCAGGACCATATAATTCACATACCATAAAATTTACCACTTAAAAGTGTACAATTAGCCCGGCCAGTGTGGCTCAGTGGTTGAGCGTTGATCCATGCACCAAGAGGTCACTGGTTCGATTCCTGGTCAGGACACATGCCCAGGTTGTGGGCCCGATCCCCAATGGGGGGCATGCAGGAGGCAGCCATTTGATGTTCTCTCTCATCGATGTTTCTCTCTCTCCCTTCCTCTCTCTCTAAAAATCAATAAAGAAAAAAAAATTTTTTTTTATCCTTACCCGAGGACATTTTTTCATTTTTTGTTCAGAGTGGGAGGGAGAGAGAGGAAGAGAGAGAGAGAAACATCGACGTGAAAGGGACACATCGAGTGGCTGCCACCCGCACGACCAACCAGGGCCGGGGACAAACTGCAACCGAGGTACGTGCCCTTAGCGGGAACCGAACCCAGGTCTCTCCGGACCGCAGGCCGATGCTCTAACCGCTGAGCCAAACCAGCCAGGGCGAAAAAAATTTTTTTTAAGTGTACAATTAATTCAAAAGATTTTAGTATATTCACAAGGTTGTGCAACCATCGCCACTATCTAATTCCAGAACATATTCATCGCTTCAAGAAGAAACCCTCTCTCTGCTCATTAGCAGTCACTCCCCATTCCTCCTCCCCTGACGCCTGGCAGCCCTGATCTGTTTGTCCCCATGGACTTGCCTACTCTGACATTTCATAGAAACGATATCATGCAATATGTGGCCTTTGTCTCTGGCTTCTTTCACTCGGTGTGTTTTCGGGGTTCCACCATGTTGTCGTGTGCGTCTCTCTTCAGTTACAGACGCTGTCTGGAGCTGATGCTGACCCAGGTGTCCCAGCATGGCCCCGGGTGCCACCTCATGGTAGCTTCCCACAATGAGGAATCTGTTCACCAGGCAACCAGACGGTATGAGGTGGTCCCTCCTTACCTCTCCCTCGCTCTGTGTCAGGGACGGTAGAGGGTGGTGGGCACGGAACAGGGGGAGGAGCAGTGTGGGGATGGTAGGTTCAGAGGAATGCCGGGAAGGGTGTTAAAACATTTAACCCCCACTACACCTGTAGGTCTTTAGGCCCCAGCTGAACACGGCATCCATCTTCATTTGCTGGGGCATGGGGAAGTCCAAGGGTGTCAGGGGAGGAGCTGGGACTCATTGGGGGGCTTTCAGGGACTTCAGAGCAGTGTTTATTTATCATTAAGTTTAAAAGTATTTCCATCTTTAAATCACTGGAATAGCCCTGTGGGTGCCGAATGGCTGACTTTCGGCTCTGGATCCAGCCACTGTCTGGATTGGTGATGTGACCTTTTCTGTAGCATGTGGGAGCTGGGCATTCCTCTGGATGGGCCTGTCTGTTTTGGACAACTCCTGGGGATGTGTGACCACGTCTCCCTGGCACTGGGTATGTGAATGACCACCCCCCCATCATGCCCTACCCAGCCCCAGACCTCATTCCTTCTCAGCCAGGTCCTCTCCCACATTTCCAGCCAATGCCTGGCCTCGCTCCTCTCTAGAGCCTGCAGATGCCCAGACTCCAGACCCTTCCAGATAGATCTGTTGCTCCCATGTCTAAAGGCCTTTGTCTCTGTGCCTGCTGTCTGTTGTTTGGCTGGTTCTTGATCATGGTGTCTTGTTTCCTATGTGCTTTGTTATCTTTACTGCGCTGTTCCCCTGGGACTGAGACTAGAAGATTTATATTTTCCTCTACCATTGTACCCTAAATGCATAGCTTCAGGTTTCTTAAGACATCCCAGATATGCAAATTTAGCCCCCCCCCCCCCGCCCTACTTACGGTCAAGACCATTCCCTGGGAGTGGGGGGAGCTCTGAGGGTGTACATTTTTGTGTTCCAGCTCAATGTGGGGAATTCTCCTTTACCCCTCTCATCCTGGTCAGACTTTGGGCCTCCTTTTCTGTACCCCTGGGGGCGGAAGTGCTTCCTGTCCGTCACTCCCCTCTCTGCCTGTCCCTGTCTCTCAGCTCTGGGATGAGTCAGTTCCTTATTCTCTTGGCAGCATGTTAATAGCTTTAAGACTTTTCAATGTTAACTCCAGGATTTTTAGTTTTTCAGTAGGAAATTTTGTCTAACTCATCTGGTCTGCCATGTTCTCAGAACTGGAAATCTCTGTTCCGGATGGGGCCTCGGGGAGCCTCTCTCCAAACATGAGCCCGCATCCTGCCAACTCCCCCTGCAGGGCAGGCCGGCTATGCCGTGTATAAGTCCATCCCCTACGGCTCCCTGGAGGAAGTGATCCCCTACCTGATCCGGAGGGCGCAGGAAAACCGGAGTGTGCTGCGGGGTGCCCGCAGGGAATGGGAGCTGCTCAGCCAAGAACTTCGCCGGAGGCTGCTGGGGCAAGGCCTGGGGGCACCCCGTTAGCACCCCCAGGGGTTATGTGGTCAATAAAGGTCCTGAGCTACTGCCTAGGCTGCTGCCCAGCACTGAAGCTGCCTCTTTGGAAAAGGGCTAATCTTGACCTCAGCCAGCCCAGCTAGGGTGCTCTGCAGCTCGAGAGAGACCTTAGATAACCTTAGAGCACAGCAAGGGCATTGATCAAAGACCCGGGAATCCTCCCCGCCCCCACGAGACAGTCTACATTGCCCGGGCCTGGGTTCTGCTCTACTCAGCCCGTCAGTGGCTGAAGCAGGAACTTTCTCCTCTCCAGTGATGCTCAGATGAAGAGCAGACACAGAGGCACTGAAGTCAAGAGGCTGAGCTAAGGCCACATGTTCAGGGAGAGAGAGAGGGAAGAGGCAAACCACTCTCTCATTTAATAACATTTTCTCAGGCCCCTTCTGAGCTAGACTCTGGTGTGAACACTGCTGGAGACACAACAGTGCCAAAGACAACCCCAGGCCCAGTCTCACAGGGCTCTTCGTCCAGCAGGGGTAGACAGCCCCATCTGCAAACAGTGACCGCCCAGAAAGCTCAGCCTGTGATGGGGGAAGCCCGTGCAGAATAGCAGGGTGACGTTGAGGGAAGCTGGAGGCTTTCAAAAGCCAGAGGAAACACCTGGTGATCAAGAGAGCTTCCCAGCCCTGGCTGGTTTGGCTCAGCGGTTAGAGCGTCAGCCCGCAGACTGGAGAGTCCCGGGTTCAGTTCCCGCTAAGGACACGTACCTCGGTTGCAGTTTATCTCCACCCTAGTTGGGGTCCTGTGGGTGGTGTCCAGTTTCTCTCTCACATCAGTGTTTCTCTCTCTCTTCCTTCCTCTCTCCCTCCCATTCTACCTGAAGATAAATGCAAAAAATGTCCTCAGGTGAGGATTTAAAAAAAAGAGAGAGAGCTTCCCAGAGTATTCATAGGAATGACCAAGTGCACACCAAGAAGAGCATTCAGAGGCAAGGGCACGGGCATACACGGAATCGTGAAACAGACTGGGGAGGGGGAGACAAGGACAGAGGATGGGCAGGGCCAGATGGCACAGTTTTAGATGCCAGGCTGGAGGGCTTGGACCTGGTCCCAAGGGCACTGGGGAGTCAGGAGTGTTTTGAGCAGGGGAGGGACAGTCAGCTTTAGCTTTCAAAAGATCCCCCTGGCTGCCATGTGGTGGGTGGAACGGAGTGGGGAGACAGGCTGGGAGCCCAGGGGAACCCAGGCTAGGAAATCCCCCAGGGCTGGGCTGTGGGGAATGGAGGAGGGGGCCATCAGGAGGATGAGTGGGACTGATAGGCTCAATGGTAAGGAGACATGCCGGGCAAGGCCTAGGGTTCTGGCTTGAAGAGGGGCCAGTTGGGCCAGTTCTGAGATAGGGTCTGGGAGGAAATGCAGTTTTGGGGAGCTATTGAGGCCAGTGTGGGACCTGGTGGATATAACGGTCCCAGAGGATGTCCAGGAGGAGGTGTCTAGGACACTGTGGGGTCCCAGGTCTGGGGCAAAGAGGAGAGGCTGAGGCAGGGACAGAGGGGAAACAGCCCTTGGAGGTGGGTGAGAAGTTTCAGAAGAGGACAATCGAGCACAGGGATCAGGAAGGCCAGCAACCTAAACAAGTCCCGAAGTCCTGGGTTCACGGGGAGAGAAGGGGTAACATGTGGGGTGCAGCTGACAGCTCTGGGACAGACATCAGTGTCTCTTCTCTCTGGTCACCCCAGAGCCCTAGGGGGAGGGGTGCCTCTCATGGGAGGGAGACTACTGCGCAAACGCAAACGTGGCAGGAAGCCACTGATGTGCCTTAGCTAGTGTGCCAGGGTCACGTGGCAGCCACGTGGTGATCACTGATGGAGCACAAAGGCAGGTGCCAAGCCTCTTGGACCCAGGTCTGGGCCCCAGAATCTTTTTAGAGCGAACTGGGTCCTCAGCTCTCTCTCCAGCAGACCCCCTCCAGCCTGCTGACCCTGGCCCCAGATTGCCCCCTTCCTCCCCACCCTTCTTACAGCCCCAGGCCCCACCCCTTCATCGGAGCCTGGCTCCATTCCCCAGGCTCCTCCCCCAGCCCACAGATCCAGTCCTCAGACCCGTTGTGTCCTCCGTCCTTCTCCTAGCCTGTAGACCCCACTCCAGCACACAAATGCTTCCCTAAACCTCAGCCCGCGCCCCAACCCGCAGACCCTCTCGTAGCCCACAGACCTGGAGCCCCCTCTCCTCCCTGGAGCCCAGCCGCTGCCCGCAGGGCCCTTCCCCAGCTCACAGACCCCGCCTCCCACGGTCCTCTTCCCTCCACCGCTCTCACAGTTGGTAGATCCCACCACCTCTTAGGCCCTTCTTCCTCCAGCCCGTAGGGAATCTTCAGACCTCTTGCCAAGCCCCCAGACTCCTTTCCCAGGCCCAGGTCCTCTCCCTGTAGCTCTTACACCCTCTTCCCAGCCGGGGCCCAGCACACAGATTTCCTTGGATCCCTTAAGCTCTCAGACTCCCTACATCCCTGATCTTTATGATCTTAGGGTATGTAGCTCTCCCAGAACTTACCCCTCGTCTCCTTCAGACGCCTCCTTCCAAATCAGACTTCCCCTACGGGACTCCCAGCCGGCTCTGTCTTTATTGCCTCCTGAGGTCCCATCCGTCTCCTCCACTTGCCCTCATGAGACCCCCTGGCTGATCGCTGCCCAGGAGCTGAGTCCGGAGCCCACGGATGCCGCCTCTGAGCTCTCACTTCCCTGTGGACCTGGGCTCCACTGGGGATCCAGAAACCCAGGTGGGCCTTCTGCATCACCTGGCTGGGGGGTGGGGCACAGGGGGGCATACTGGGGCCTTATCCCGCTCCTGAGGAGAGGTGGGGGTTTGGCTGCTGGAACTGCCTGTGGGGGCAAATCAAGGGCCAATATAGAAGGTTCGACTTCCGTTGGCCAGTCAACAATTTTGTACCAGACACCTACTGTGTACCCGGCTGTGTTGTCTGTGACGGTGATTCAGGGGTAACCATGACCTTCCGGGTCACTGTGAATGAAATCTACTATGGGGATTTAAGAGTGATGAGGATGAGGTGGACACTGGACAGGATGGCCTTCTGGGTGGGATGATACTTGAGTCTCACAGTGCAAGAGCCAATCATACAAAAAACTGGGGAGGAAAGCTCTCTGAAGGGTGGAATAATCAGAGCAAAGGCCCTGTAGTGGGAAGAATCTGGGTACGTGTGAGTAGCAGCAGGGAGCGAGGGGACTCAGGGACAGGGACAAGGCTGCTGCCGGAGGGTGCAGGTCCAGACAGGAAAGGGCCTTAAAGGAATACAGGAATTTTGTTGGATTTTGTTCTGTGTGATGGGAAACCATTGGAGTCATGGGTAGGAAATTAATATTACCCAGTTTACAATTTTTGGTTTTCATTTTTTGTAATTTGATTGCGTATCCAGCTACTTTGTCAACTTGCTTAGTAGTTGTAATCATTGATTCTGTGACTGTGCCTATCTGCAGATGGTGACAGTTTGGTCTTTTCTTCAGTCTTTAAACTCTCATTTATTTATGTATTTTGTCATAAAGTGTTGGCCAGAACCCCCAAAGCTTGTCGTCAATTGGCAATTATTTCTTTGTTCTTGATATTTAAAGGAATAAGTTTGTTTCTGCATTAAGTATCATGCTTGTTCTTGGATTTTGGCTTATAATTTTTATCAAATAAGGAAGTTCTTACCTTGTCTTAGTTTTCTGAGGTGTTTTTCCCCCCTAATCACAAGTAGGTATTGCATTTTATCAATTGCCTTTTCTGTATCGACTGAGTTCAACCATGATTTTTGTTCTTTCACCCATATGTGTGTTTTATTACATTGATAGATTTTCTTTTGTGGAATCATCCTAGCTTTATGGGAATAAATTGATGGGTTAGCCCTTTTACTTTATTTAGGGGTTTTGCATATATGGTCACAAATAGAATTTTATTTTCTGGTTCTGGAAACTCTCACCTGGTTTTGGAATTAAGGTCACACTAGCTTCATAAAATGAGTCTTGCCCCCACCTCCCAAACTGTATCCGCTTGAGCTCATCTGCCATGATCTGCCTGCCATCCCGACCTCTACCGCCTCTGTACCGGACCCAGGTCTCCACTGGTCAGTGAGTGACCCTACACCCTTGCCCTGTTGAGGTGCCCCACCCATTTGGTCCTCCAGTCAGGCCTCCTCACAGGAGAGCTGCCCTGGGCTGGAAAGGAGGAGCCTGAAGTACAGGCTAAAGGGAGGCCGGTGAGAGCCCGGCCTTGGACCCCTTGGTGCCAGCCCCTGCCAGGCCTTGCTTCAACCTGGGCAGCCTGCAGAATACCCAGTACCTGCTGCAGGAGGCCAGGGCCCGAGTACAGGACAGGCTGGCAGGGGTGGGTGGTAGCTGGGGGATCTTAGGCAGGGCTCATGTCCCCACATCCAGCCTCCTGTGCACAGGACTTGGCTCCTGAGGTGAGCTCTCCGATGGATGGGACCACACTGTACCCAGCACCCCAGGGTTCCTCACCAGGTTAGAGGGCATGGAGGATGGTGGCAGGTGCTGGGCACAGCTCAGCTGTACCCCTCCCCCAATGCCAACCAACTGGTTTGTACCCCCAGTGACACTGTACTGTGAGGTGGCTCCTGGAGGCAAGACTATACCCAGGCCTGTGCCCCTGTGATGTCCCAAGGCTCTTCCCATCCCAGGTAGGAGGCAGGGCAGGGATGTGGAGAGTCAAGGGAGCCGTGGGCACCTAGGCCACCCACTCCGGCTCTCTGCCATCGCTCTCTGCAGGCCCCGGAGACTCCTGAGGTCACAGGCCACAGCAGAGTCCAGAGGGGCCCAGCCTGGGACGTGGGCAGCAGCTTGACTCCTGGCAGC